CGGGGGGGGGGGGGGGTGTGTGTCCAGGCCTTAGGAGCTCAGAGGGATTTTTAGACCCAAGGGAGCAAGGTCCCCCTCCTTCGTCTTCCACAACCGATCAGGAAGGGTCTGTAGAGAGCAGGGGCCAAGGAGAAGCCTGTGTAGACAGCGACCCGGCCCCACCCCAGGAGCTCGCTCACTCCCCGCTCCCCTCTGTGTCCAGGAAGGCATCACCTCGCAGACCTCCCACTGGAGCCGCCTCTACTTCATGACCTTCTACATCGTGACCATGGTAGGTCCCGGGGCACACAATGCCCTCCACCCTCCTCCCTCTTCTGAGCCTCCAGCTGCCCCTGCTTATCGGGCGGCAGCTCAGGGAGGAGGGGGCCGGGGACACGTCTGACCGGGCTCTGTCGGCTCTGGGGCCCCGCAGCAGCTCACCCCCCGCCCCCATCCCTCTCTCTTTGTGCTCGTCCTCTCCGTGCCTGGCCAGGTGGTGATGACTATCATTGTCGCCTTCATCCTCGAAGCCTTCGTTTTCCGCATGAACTACAGCCGCAAGAACCGGGACTCGGAAGGTCTGTGCAAGTGGCTGGAGCAGGGGCGTTTGCCGCTTGCTGCTCATCTGTCTGTCCAATCTTTTGGCAATTCAGCTTACTGATCTGGCTTAGCTTTCTTTTTTTTTCCCCCCTCAATTTTATTTTTTGGCCGCGTTGGGTCTTCGTTGCTGCGCGCGGGCTCTCTGTAGTTGTGGCGAGCAGGGGCTACTCTTCATTGGGGTGCGCGGGCTTCTCATTGCCATGGCTCCTCTTGTTGCAGAGCACGGGCTCCAGGCGCGTGGGCTTCAGGAGTTGTGGCTCACGGGCTCTAGAGCGCAGGCTCAGTAGTTGTGGTGCACGGGCTTAGTTGCTCCGCGGCATGTGGGATCTTCCCGGACCAGGGCTCGAACCCGTGTCCTCTGCATTGGCAGACGGATTCTTAACCACTGTGCCACCACCCAAGTCCTGGCTTAGCTTTCTTGATCTCTTATTTGCATTGATTTTTCAAATACTTAATGACAGAAAAATGCACGTGATCTCATTTTAAAAATCAGAACAGTACAGCCCAGAGATCAAGAAAAATCACAGGCTGATTGTAACCCCAGCAGCCCTCTGTCCTGCCTTCCTCATCTCCCTGACTGTTCATCCTTCCTTAGCTGTTCCCCCTTTTAGTTATCGTCTCCACATTTCTAAAGCCCGTGTTTGTCCTCTGGCTCCTGATTTAAACGGTGTAAATACCGTTGCCCACAGAGCCTACTGTTACTTGCTTCTGCAGCTTGCGATCCCTTGCCTCCCTTTTCCCGGAGTGCATCGCTTTCTGCCTAATGATCCTTCATTCTTGCCAGATTCTCCATCAGAACTGCCACATCCCTGTTACTACTTGTTTCCACATCTCTGTCCTCTCAGACTACCTGATCATTTTCTTTTTGCTCGGAGACTCCCTCCTGAAACCCTCTGTCCCCTGTAAGCTGGTGGCCTGACCAGCGCTCCTGACAGCCCCAGCAAGGGGAGGGGATGGGGAGGGACGTGAGTTCCAGATGGTGGGGGGAGGTGGTTGTGCTGATCAAGAGTTTTGCTGGGAGAGGGAACCTTAAGGCCCCCATACGGAGCAGGGAGGATGGCTAAACCAAGCCAGACGGGGGGCTCTGAGTCCCAGGCTCCTTCCCCCTGCTGCCCTCCCGTCCTGCAGTTGACGGCGGTATCACCCTTGAGAAGGAAATCTCCAAAGATGAGCTGATTGCTGTCCTGAAGATCTACCAGGAGGCCTGGGGAGCCGCCTCTGACATCGCCCAGTTGCTCAAGATCCTCTCCCAGATGGAGAGATACGAGGTGGGGAGTGACAGGGCCTTGTCCCACGGAGGGAGCGGGTTGTGGCTTAGTGCAAACACTCCCCCGCTGTCCATCCCCTCAAGTTTTGGTGACACTTTTGGGGGGCACCGTTGCAGAAGCCAGAAGAGGGGGTGAGGCCGGGTGCCAGGACCTTGGCTCGGGCCGGTCCCTGCAGCCTTTCTGTTCTTCTCTAGCAAAATACCTTGGTGTTTCTGGGACGGAGATCGAGGACCAAAAGCGATCTGAGCCTAAAGATGTACCAAGAGGAGATTCAGGTAGGAGCGCCCCCGACCACGCTGCCCAGATCCTCCCGTCCAGGAGTGGTCCTCAGCCTTGAACGCTTGAAGCATTCCCCAACATAGGCAGCCACCCTGTCCTCTCTTCCACATATGTCACTGACCTCATCCCATTCTCTTCCTCTGAGCCAGAACAGCAAAGGAAACGCATACAGCGGGAGACGTTGCGGGCAGAGCAGGGAGCATGGGGGGCCCTGGCGAGCTGGCCTGGACCGGCCTCTTCAAAGAGGATGGTCCTCCTTCCCACATGCAGCCGGACGTTGCCCGATAGGAACAAGGGCCTGCTGCCCCTGGCTCTCTTGGGGTTTTTGATTGTTTTTGTTTTCTAATTTAAGAGAAGGGAAAGGTCAGATATTTTTTTGGCAAACTCTCCCAGTCTTCCCACATTGGCTGCTAAGTGAAAGAGCTTGTGAAGCACCCCGTGGGCTGGCGCTCTGCAGCCCGGACAGAGCCACGGACTTCGGGCCACGCATCCGCCCAGGCTCCCAGCTCCCTCGCCAGCCACTGTGACTGTGCTGTTTTCAGGCTGGAAACCCTTGTTTCCCTGGGACAGTGATGACCAGGGTCCGAGCCCAAAAGGCCGGGAGGCTGCAGTCCCCTGAAGTGACTCGCACCTTATCTGTAAAAACACAAGGGGTCTGGCGAATCACTGCACTCAGAGTCACAGATGAGGAACCAACATGAGCTCTGGTGTCATAAAACCCGGGTTTGATCCCAGGCTCCGTGACCTTGTGCAGGTCACGCAGCCCATCCCCATCTGTGAAAGGGGGACCAGTCCCTGCCTCACAAAGCAGAGGAGGGCACGGCACTAGACATGCCGCCTGGCCGTCCACTCCTGGCCTCAGTCTCCCGCTCTGTGGAATGAGGGGGCACAGAACTAGGCCATCTCTCTAATTTTTTAAGCTCTAAAGTTCTGTGGTTCAGACTCTTTAAAAACATAGGGTTTATATTTAAAATTTCTCAGTTACCTGAATACGTCTGTCCCTGAAAATGTCGGGTGATATAATGATAATAGTCTTAGGCGGGTGAGCTGTTTGGTTTTTTTCAGAATGCTCTCACAGCCATTCTGCAGGGCAGCAAGGCAACCGGGGAGTTGGGAGATGCACTCAAGCTTCGCACTCAAGCTTCATACAACTTTATACAACTTCTGAGCTTCGGGTTTCCTGGGTGTAAAATGAGGACACCCAGCTCAAAAGGGATAACACAGGGGGTTGGCGAGGGGGTGGGGGGCACACATCCCTTTGTGAACCACACAGATCATGTTCACAAGTAAAGGGTGATTATTACTACCTGGGCCTCATTGAAAGAGGTGACGGTGCCAGGCACACTTGACAAGGAGGTTTGCAAATCTCTAGTTAAAAAGGGAAAGATTGCATCGTCATTTTTCTATTTAGGGTCCTATTCAGAATTCCCAGCAGATCTGGGAGGGTCACAGCACTGCCCAGCCTGGGTGACCCCGTTAGGCGGGGGGCAGGGCTGGGGCCCGCTCAGCACCCTGTCTGCTCTCTGCCTTAGGAGTGGTACGAGGAACACGCCCGGAAGCAAGAGCAGCAGCGACAACAGCTCAGCGGCTGCGTGGTCCCCACCACCCCGCAGCCTCCAGGCAGCCGCCAGCGCTCCCAGACCATCACCTAAGCCCAGCCTGCAAAAGCCATCTCTTCTATGCAATCACACAATAGTATATTTTACTATGGTGTATCAGAATAATGTGTGTGTATATATATATATATATGTTTTATATATGTATACACACGTTCATAAATATGCACATATTTATATATAGTTAAAAGGAAAGACAGGCAGACAAGTTGAGGTTTGGTTTGTACCCACCTTGCCCTGTTAACCCCGGAAGTCAATTTCATTTTTGGGGGATCAGGCCACTAGGAGCTCTTCTTAACATGGAAAGCTCCAGAAGGCCCCTTCACAAGAGCACTTGAATGGATTCTGCCGCTCTCCTGCAACGTGGGCCAGCGTCCCTAGGCCAGATCCATACCGTCTTCCTGATGCTGCTTTCAGAATCCCACCCAGGCTGACAGCTAGCTTCCCCACTAACCTGCCCTGTCGCCCACATCCTGGGGTTTCTGTGTTCTGCTTTAGGGACAAAACCACTTAGGAAGGAAAGAACCCACATCCTTGGGTTGGTATGTCTCTAGATATGATAATGAAATTGGGCGTTCCCTTGGGGGACCAGTACCCAGCACCTACTGGAACGAGTGATCCAGGGCTGTGGTTATTCCGTGTGGTCAGATCTCAGCCAGTGCCAGGAGGCGAGAGAGGCCGTATCCCAGCTCCATGAGCCTTCTCACCTACCCTTCTTTTGATTTCAACCCTTGTTGCTGAAAATCCTCCTAAAATGGCCTTTGGAATCACAGCCCGGTAGGAGGAGGAAGACAGGCAAGAGGCCAGGCCGATGGCTACCACCCCAGGCCATGTCCTGAAATGGGCTTTCTCCTTAAATCCCTTTTCCTTGGGATCGTCCTGTTTAAGCAAAAAGACATTTTGGTTAATTCAGGATTCTGCTAAAGACAACAGCAGATCCTTTCACGTGTGTGCATTCGCTGGAAACGGGAACAAAGAGCACAGAGGCTCACCTCAGGCTGTCCACGGCTGCCCTGCGGCTGAACCTGTGGTCTCCTTGGCCAGCTCTCCCCTCACCTTGAGCAGTCACCCTCCGTGGACTTGACTGAGGTAGGGCTGGGGACGCGGCTCACCCCGAGGTTTCCACTCCCGGGAGTAGGTTCAGGTGGCCTGTCAGTTTCCTGAGTTCCCCAGGGACCTTGGGAGAGTTCTCTGAGATCAGGATGCAGTAGGGGCTTGAACCCATAGCAGGCTGTCGGCGTTGGCAGCTCCGGTGAGCGGCGGTGGCAGCGGCAGAAGCAGGGTCAGAGCAGAGGGAGCCTCGGCTCAGCTCTCCTGGGCGGTGAGCCTATCTCAGTGCAGGCAGCAGAGGCGGCAGAAGCAGGGATGAAACGGGTGGGGGGCGGGGAAGCGGCCTGCACTGGGCATCCTGCCCCACCCCCCACTTTCCAGCTGCCTCCACTGCCTCCGTGACTTAGGGAGGCGGGTGGGCAAACTCCCCCTCGCCACATCCTCTTCCCAGCCGGGCAGGGCCTGATCCCGGGGTGTAGTGCCGCATCTCCACGGCCCAGTCTTCTCGACTGTGGCCTTGGACGGGCTGGTCCCATGGCCAGCACCACACAGCTCTGCCCCTCACTAGGGGAGAGGTGGCGGACGTTGCTGTTTTTAAAGCACAGCTCTTTAGGGAGACAACGGATCACTGAGAACCACTGAGATTCCCCAAGGGAATCGGGAGACAGACGTTGTCCTCTTTATCTCTGGAGGGCCACGGGCCATCGCAGGCAGCTCGGCACCAAGCCCCAGGCCAGAACCCCTTCCCCTCTCCGGAGAAGTAACTTTGTTTGCATATTTGGGTGCCTTTTAGATTTTGTTTATTGAAATGAGCATTTTGGAAGCAGGAGTCAAGGGGCGGCTTTCAGAGGAGGGCGTGAGTCCCCCGACCTCAGCATCTGCCCCCAGGAGGCTGAAACCTGGGAGGGGCGCCAGGGAAACAGCGCAGCCCCCCAGCCCCCAGGGTGAAGGCTGGTACCAGGAAGAGTGGGATCTAGTCCAGGCCCCCCAACCCCATCCTGTGAAAGGCCCTGGTTTTAGCCAGGGACGGGATGAAAGCCAAGTGGCAACAGTGCTGATGCACCAGACTCCAGCCACTGGTGGGCACCCTCATTACTGAGGCTAAGGACAGCTGCCCCTTCGGGGTCACTGGGGGCCTCCTCAAGTTGACCCTCCGACTTGTACACAGGCCATCGAGCAGGGAGCGGGTGTCACCCAGGGCTGTGAGCTCTGGGAACCCAGGACATCCAGCTCGGATGCCCTCTCACCTCCCACATCAGCTGAACACCACCAAGGTGAGATGGGCCGACTGGGTCTGGGTCTCACCACCTGTCAGTGTCTGTGATGGCCCTGGGCCCCTGCCCCGCTTTGGGGGGGGGGGACACCATCTGGCCCCTCCTCCTTGCTTCCCCCCACAACCCAGCCTTACTCCACACCACGTGACAATCATTTTGTACAGACAGAGGGAGCGACGCTGTAAGGTTTTTGTACAATGGCGATTTGTTACCTAGAAAACCCACCGCGTCTCCGGATTTCTGGCATATTAATAAAAGAGCCTCTGCTTTGTACACACGGCTGCTGCCTTGTGACTTCTACCAGGCACCATTCGGTGGCTTCTGAGATCGTGGGGAACAGGGAGAGGCCCCATCCATGCCTGTTCCTGACCCTACATCAGCCCCACCCCTAGCCGTGCCACCAAGTCCAGATCCGTCAGGCCCAAGCGCCTTCGGCCCTGGAACCGACCACTTGTCAGCCTGACCCAGGTTAAGAAGTAGTAACAGCCGGCTGTATGTTGTTTTCTGTTGACTTGAAATATTTAATGATTTTTTCATTGGAAACAAAGACAACTGAGTGCCTTTACTGCTGGCATAAGGCACCGAGCAACCAGGAGCGCTGCTTGTTGAAGCGGCAGGTCGCTGGCTGACAGCAGGAAGGCGCCTGGGAGCGCTCCTCACCGAGCAAAGCTTCATCTGCCGCCCCCCATCGCTCCTCATCGCTCTCATTACCGCCTGAAACATCCCCCCTACCCCCCCCCCCCCCCCCCCTGCCCGGAGCCCGCAGACAAAGCAGCCCTAGCCCAGGGCTCCCCCTGAGGTAGGCACAGGGCACAGTCAAACTGACTCCTGTTTTGCATCTGGGGCCACCTCTGAAGCCAGCGGACAGTTCTAGAGGCAGTCTAGAGCTGTGCCGTCCAATATGGCAGCCACTAATGGGCCAGTGCCACTGGCGGCTATTTTGGAGTGATATATATTATCATTAATTTCACCTTTTTCTTTTGGCTTTGTTAACGTGGCGACTAGAAGATTCAAAATTAGGTACGTGTCTCACATTCTATTTCCGTTGGACAGCGCAGCTCTAGAACTCAGCCCGCATTGGCCCGAGGCCCACAGCACACGAGCTGTTCTATCTGCCAGGTCCGAGTCACCCTGACTCCCTAAACCCGGGTTTGGCAGCCCTGAGAGAAGCAGCAGGAAGGCAACAGGGCGTGGCTGTGGGGAGGGGCCTTCTTCCGGCCTGGAAGGCACCCAGGCATCCCCTTTGCCCCAGACCCCAACGTTCAAGAGGCTCTGGAGATAACGCAAGGAAGTCTACCTGCTGCCTGGAACTCCTCAGGGAAGCCCAGCCTCCGCAGCCCCAGAAACAAGGTTTAGCTGTCCTAACTGCACACAGCGGCGACTGGGAAGCTTTGGCAGAGAGCACAGCCCCACGGGCGCACACCCCATTCATGGTCTCGGCCTTGGCCACGCTCGCCTGAGCGGGTTCTAACGAAGGCACTTCATCCTCCATCTCACCGCCTGCAGCGACACCTCCCGACCACCAGGCGGACCCCGACACAGCTTCACTCACACAGTTTTCAAGTGAATCACTCCAAATTCAGTGAGCAGGGCCACCAGGAGGAAGGTCAAGTACAAGAGCAGCAGGCAGCAGCCGTAAACTCTGTTCAGCTGGAAGCATTGCAGTGGGACCGAGACCAGGGAACAGACGAGGCTGAGGCCTAGGGTGCCAGCCAAGACCCACACCAACAGTCCATCAGGCTCCAGCTGCGGGGAACACGGGGAGAGAGGCTGGGTCACTGCAGCCGACAGTCAAACTGAGGTTTGAGGGCCCCTCGTTAGGGGCCAGGGAGGGACTTCTGGCCTGCCCAGTGGGATGGCCCCCCTCACCTTGAAGTTCAATGTTTTTAAGCCACGTGGTATGTGGTAATTTGTCACGGCAGCCCTAGGAATATAGGTTATATATATATATATGTATATGTAGATATGTATGTATATATAAATATGCATATATATGTATACATATATATATTACACGCAGTAGTTGAAAAATTCTCCAGCAACACAGAAGAATAAAAGGAAATGAAATTGTTCTCTTCCTACTTCTCTCCCTTTCAGATTTAGTTAGCATCTATCTAACATATATGGAAGACTTAACCCTAGGTGCTATGCTAGGTATATTACACCCACCTTAGCTACCAATCCACAGTGAGGAAACCAGTACAGCCGACCCTTGAACAGCCTGGTTTGAACTGCATGGGTCCGCTTATATGTGGACTTTTTTCAACAACTATAGTACGTGTATTTTCATTTCACGATCTTTAAATTAAGCGTGGGGGGGGGGAGTTCGTGTTGAATTAGAGATCACAGTATGTGGAATCGAAAGAGCTAGGGTTTGAGTCGTGACTCTACGCAAACTCTTTTGGCATCCTGTCCCCCGTCAGTCATTTATCAATTCCTTTGCTTTTGAGGCAGAGATAGCAGTACTCAGATTTGCGACTGCGTCAGGGACTCAGCACCTCTAATTCCCACGTCGTTCAAGGGTCAGCTGTAGTACGTGACAGAGCCCAAGTCCGAAGTCCAAGCTCATACCCTACCCTGTCTCCCCATACAATGATACGTGTACCCACAGATGTGTGGGTACACGTGTGCACATACAGGCCTGTCCATCCATTCTGAAACCACAAATGGGACCATACAATAGGTACATGTGTTTAAGAGCAACCTGTTTTTCAGCCAACAATATGCCATGGACATCCTTCTATGATGACATCTCATGATGCCCTATGTCTTATGCAATTAAAAGCAGGATCACAAAGGCAGTGGGATGCAGACAGACAGACACCCCCCCCCCCCACACCACACATTCCACGAGGAGCCAGAGAAAAGAAGTAGGGCACTCAGGGGGCCAACCCCTAAAGCCTCATTATCAGGAGCCACCTGAAAATCGAGAATGAAAGGAACCTATTAAACCCCTATTAAACCCCTGAAGAGTATAAACAAAATTTGCAGACAGAGCAAAGTTTTCCAGCGGTAAGTAGCCGTTTGCTTATGGGCGTGGCCACTGTGAAAGGCCGGCCCTGCTGCCAGTTAATTACAAGTCAGCCGCGAGAATCTGTTCAACAACTAGCTGCCTCTTGGAGAAAGAGGTGGGCGACTTTGTTCCCATTAACGACGCCATCATTCAGCTGCACATTCCGAGTGCTTCCACGCGATTAGCCTTAAAACCATCCACTGGGCCACATGCCCTCCCCGTCTCCATCCGTCTCTGGTTTGGCCTCTTAATCCAAGTCCTTGGGAATGCAAACCTGGGGACCGAATCTAGGCTGACTCTGCCTTGCACGGGGTGCTGCTGGCCCTGTGCACCATTTCCGAAGAGAAAAGTTCACTTAGGAACCTCGATTTCTTCTCTAGAAGAGCTGGGTTATCTGGCCACAGGAGGCCCACCTGAGTCGCCCGCGAGACGTGGCTGCCTGCCCTGAAGCAGTGTGTGAGTTTTCAACCTTGTTGGAAAAAACCTGTTTCCAAGTGTCCTAACCTTCATCGGTTCCCAGGGAGCATGTTTAAAATGCAGGTTTCCAGCCCCCAGCCCCTGCAATGCCTGGGTCAGGAGGTCTCACGCGCTCCCAGGGAATTCCTGGGTGCCCTTGAACCCACAGAAACTCTGCTGCTCAGTGCATTTCAGAACTTCTCCAAATCTATGGAGATCCCCCCTTTCTGGGCTGTTGCCAACATTCTCTCTCACCCCAGGCAGTGGTGGGATAAGGTGTTCAGCCTGGCCCTTACCTCATGTCTGCTTATCCAGGAAGCTTGTGGTGGTAGTGTGGGGGGGGGGGCATCAACCCCATTTCACAGGTGAGGAAACTGAGGCTCAAAGATCCTCAGAGTCCTGATTCATTCAAAGTCACATAGCAAGAGACTTCAGTGATGAGACCAAGACCCCAATCCTGGGCCTTCCCGCCCCTTTCCCTAAAAGCTACATCTTAATTACTCGGTGACCTTGCAAGGAATACCTTTTTTAACCCTATATGCAAAATGTTTTTAAGATATTCTACACATCAGACATGTCGCAGATGTAGACAAGTCCTCTCCCCAGTAAGTGTCATCTACTGAGATGTGAATGGTCTCCGGTCCAGAGAAGGGAGGGGGAAGAGGAGGACCGGGAGGAGGGGAAGAAAAAGGGAGGGGGAGGGGAGGGGGAGGAGGGGAGGAAGGAAGGGAAAGTGGAGGGGGAAGAATCAGTCAAGCATGTTTGAAAACCCAAATCAGGAACTTGGCAGGCAAGTTTGAGAAAATTAAATAAATAAATGGCAGCACAGGAAACCATAAACAAAACAAAAAGACAAGCTACAGAATGGGAGAAAATATTTGCAAATGATGTGACCAGCAAGGGAGGGGGATGAGGAGGAGAGAGCTTTATGAGAGGCCCCTGCAGAAGCATCTGTGGCCACTCACCTCCACTGCCACGTGGCTCCTGGAGATCTGGAGCAGGCAGCCCAGCCCCACGCCCACCAGGATATCTGCAGCCCAGCTCAGGAAGTTTGCCAGAACACAACGCCCCATAACCCTGACCACACAGCCCACTGGCTTGCTTTCTGATCTCTGGCTGTGCTCCCCCCTCTCCCCAAAAGCCACCCTATCTGAGGAGACCTTATCCAGTTTTAGCACCTCTAAGAGAGTCTCCAGTGCACATTTTGCCTCAGTCTGTAAGGATCGCAGGAGGTGACAGAAACGCTTGGTACCTGGTAAGATGGGGAAATGGGAGGCGAGGTGAAGTGACTACCCACGGTCCACTGGGGAGACTGGTGACGGAGCATGTCTCGGGGCCACCTCTAGGGGTTGTGCAGGGGACACTGCTCCAGCCAGGGCTCCATCCTTCCCATCCCAACCTGGCTTTAGGGCTGTGGTCAGGAGAAGCCACAGCCCTAAAGCCAGGAGCGGGTCACAGTGAGCACCGGGAGTGACAGACAGCAGGAGGCATGCTGCACACAGGTCACACAGCTGGCATGCGGCAGCGCTGAAACCGGCACCCAAGACTGTCGAGATTCAAAGCCCTGTCTTTTTCGCAGCCCCAGGCAGCCTGACCCTGCCTTTTCTATATAGACCAAGGGGTGGCAAATTAAAGCCTGCAGGACAATCCGGCCCAAGGCCTGCTTTTATTAATGAAGTTATATTGGGACCCAGTCACGCCCATTTGTTTATGTATTGCCCATGGCTGTTTTCACATTACAACAGCAGAGTTGAGCAGCTGCAAAAGAGATCCTATGGTCCACAAAATCTAAAATATGTACTCTCTGGCCCTTTAAGAAAAAGTTTGCCAACCCTGACATCTACAGACCATGACATCTGTAAGCAAGAGGGAGGGGTCTTCCACAAGCTTAGTGTGTGGGCACCTACTAATAATACCTCTGCCCTAACAAGACGAATATCTGCCATCACTGCTGTCTGCCAGGTGCAAAGCACTTCTGTCACCTCATTCAATCCTTATAACAACCTATGAGATCAGTCTTTTCAATATCCCCATTTTTACAGATGAAAAAGCTGAGGCTCAAGCAGCCGCATCACCTGCCCCAGGTGTTCCAGTGAAAGCCAATCTGGGGTGGGGGGGGCACGGAGCACACCCTTGGCTCCCAGCACTGAGGGAAGGGCAGTCCCAGAAAGGATACTGAAGATGATGCCACCAAAACAGGCCGAGAACGCCATCCGTGGGTAGCCCTGGCGGGCCAGCGTGAGATCTGAGAAGACATCTGTGTGGAAACACAAGAAGGCCTTGAGTTGTGCAGGGCTTCCCCTAGCCCTCCTTGTTCATTCACTCCTTCATTCTACCCACAGTCATTCAGTCAACAAACACTGATGAAGGTATGCCTGGCTCTGGCACTAGATGGCTGGGTGCTATGGGAGGCCGCATCATCCCGTAAGACACAATTCCCTCCTTAATTCCTTCTACCTGCCTCTTTTCCACCAGGGGCAACTTTGAGGGTGTGACATGCCACCACCAATATTTCACCCATGTCCCGTCTGCTGCTAGCACACACAGTACCTCGGGGCAAATTAGGAAAAGGGGCCCAGAAAGGTGAGTGGAAGGAGAGCTAGACTCTGGGCCCCCTGATCCCTTGTCAGGATGCTCTTGGGCAGTGTACAACCTGACCAGCCCTACTTGGCAGCTCTAGCTAGAGAAGGATATCTGTATGCATGAGTGAATGCCTACCCATGTCGCACACCCACGGACACATTCCATCTGGTTGGCTGCAATGAGCTCCATGTCCTGCCTGAAGTCTGGGGAGCCACTGAGTGTCCATGCATCAGAGAGTGGGGAAGAGGCTGGGGGCTTCTACAGAGCCTCCCGGCTCAGGTACATTCTGGGCCATCCCACCCAGATGCCCAGTGATGGTCACTCCAAAATGATAGGCACTGACCACCTGCTGAGGGCAGATGCCCTGGACGCCCCTATCCACATGGAATTCTGTCTGGAGGAGCAAAAAGCAGTGAGGTGGCTGTGCTCATTCTAGAAGCCCACCCGGCCCCAAGTCACCTCCAATGCTGTTCCCCCAGGCCAGCAGCGTGAGCCCGAGGACAGTGTTGCTCAGCCGGAAGACCACACCCAGGGACCGTAAGATGTTCACCACCTCCGTGGCAGCTGCGTTGATCCACAGGGCGCTGGTCAGGAAGCCCAGGAAAGCAAAGAGCTGGGGGAGGGAACAGGGACACAGCCTTAGTTCCTCAGCTATAAAATGGGACAATAACAGTACCTACTCAGTGAGGTTGTCATGAGCATAAAATGAGTTAGTAGATGCAAAGCAGTTAGAGCCTGGCATATATTAAGTGCTCAATAAAATGCTAGATCAATACTACCATTTTGTCAAAAAGGAGTTCATCATAGCTTTCATCAGATTTCTAGTCTATGCACCAAATGCCACCTCATCATTAGAAAAAGAAACTCCATACCCATGATCAGTCACTTCCCAGGGCACCCAACCTTCCTCCCAGCCCCTGGCAATCACTCCTCTATTTTCTGTCTCTCTGGATTCGCTTATTCTAGACATGTCATAGAAATGGCCTCATACAATACGTGGTCCTTTGTGATTGGCCTCTTTCACTCAGCATCATGTTTTCAAGGTGCATCCACCTTGGGACGTGTGTCAGTACTTCCAAGACTAGTAAGAAACACTGCCTAAGACCATTTCTCGAAATAATCAATTGGCTGAAAATTCAACTTCCTTTGGGCTGGTACATCCATTCAGAGTTTCTGAAAACAGAAACTAGAATTTTTAAAAGCAATAATTAGAAAAAAAAAATGAAAAAAATTAAGTAAACTTTTGAGGAAAAGGTCTCTGGACAAACTACCTAAACATTTTTTAACATCCTGCAGAGGTGAGAGAATGGGAAAAAAACACCCCCAAAGACCAAACAACTCCATCACTGGAATGTGATTGTTAGGAACCCAGGTGCTTCCTAGTTAGGATGGTGGAAAAGAGTCTGGTCGGTCTTTAAAAAGGTAAACATACAGTTCACATGTGACCCAGCAGTTCTACTTACTCCCAGGAATACACCCAAGAGAAATGAAAGAATTATTTCTACAGAAAAAAATGTAAACCAATGGTCATGGCAGCATTATTCATAATATCTAAAAAGTGGAAAAAAAAACACCCCAGGGTCCATTAATGGATGAAGCAATAAACAAAATATGCTATATCTATATAATCGAATAGTATTCAACCATGAAAAGGAATGAAGTGCTGATACATGCTACAACACGGATGAACCTTGAAAACATTTTGCTAAGGGAAAG